ATATATATATATATATATATATATATATATTAGTAAAGAGAAATTATTTAACTATTGGGATTAACTTAATCACTGCATCAATAAACATGAGCAGGAGTGTGCTATAGACTTACTTCTCCACGTGGTGCACCCTGAGCAACGTATACTCATACGACAAAAAAGTCTATTAACCGGCAGTTGACTTCTAAATTCAATCTACCATGACCCCACTCTATGTCATATTCGACCCCTTTCACTATACTCATCTTACCTTTTTCTCTGCCTTTGTGTCTGTCTGTCTCTTTTACATCTTTGAATCTCTCTTCTGCCCCCACCCCTCTCAACATTTGGTTACTTTAATGTTCCTCCCCTCTGTGAAGCCCGAAGTCAGCTAAAGGGCTAATGATAATTATCGAAACGCCTGCCATTTGAACTGTATAAATATGGGCAAGTATTTGGGGATGATATTTGATCCTTAGCAGTTTAAAAAAGGCATCTTTTGTCCTGACCAAAAGGATCAAGTTTCAGAATTGCGCGAAATTTTATAGGGCGCTTCTGTGGCTCCGAGGGCGTAAGGGTGACAACTGGTACTTGTTGTTGTATTAAAGGGGTGAAAATTTCCAAAAGTGAGGCGCGCAGACGGATAGGAATCTTTTAGGATCCCCTTGAATTCTCCTAATGGAGACGCGCGCCTCTCCATTAAGGTTAGGATGGAAACGTACTGCAAATGGATTGGGAAGGTGTTGTGGTGTTGTCATCTACTGCGCGCTATATAGTAATTTATGCGCAAGAATTGTTAAATAAGTTTCCGTTTTGGCGGTCTGTGTGCTGTATTTCCGAAAAAAATATTTATATAGAAGAGAGACCGTGTGGTTATAGAATCACACTATGAATGGCATTCAACATTATCATTGGCCACAAAAATACCAAAAGAGAAAGGACCCTGTAAAATTTAAATGTTACTAGAGCACAAGAGTTGACAGAACTCAAGAGAAAACGCATGAGTGCACGAGTCAGATGATGGCTTGTCATGCTGAAAAAATGTCTAAGCTTGTAACAAACCCCCCCCCCCAGATATACCTCAATCAACCAATCAATAAACTCTGTAAGTTGTGGAAATAGCATCTTTTTTTTCAAATGAACTTAAAGTTGGATGTGAATTTATCGATAAGGGAGTGACAAAATGAGTCTGATTTGCAAGAATTTTCCCTATCTTGAGAGTAAAAATTGTCCATTAAAAAATATCTTAAAGCGAATCGAGAGATCTGCAATTAAACTCGCTTGGACATTTTATCATGTACTGTTTGATCTCCGCTAGAACAGTGGATAAATCACTGTTTTCGAAAATATATATGGCATATTATGGTATCTTCCCAAATGATTAATTACCATTTCTGGACATATTTTTTGTAGGACCATCATCAACCGTAGTACATACTCCGAATTCTCTTCGCTGTGTGTGTGTGTGTATGTATGCGTGAAGAACAAGGTGTGGCGATAGTACAGAAGGCTATGAATGTGGAATTTCAGAGGGAGTAAAATAATTGGGTAAATTTATGGAAGCAAGCGGTGGTGGGGATTGAATAAAAAAAACAACAGAAAGGAGGGGGGGGGGTATAAGGGATCGATTTTTTAATTTTCTCCAACGAGGAAAAGAACTATCCAATCACCTCTATCCCCTAAATGACCCTGTTATTATCAGAATTACCTGCATTATAAGTTTTAAACCACTTGATCTGATGAAAAGAGATTAGGTTTGTTCACTTAAATCCTTTTGATAAGGAACGAACAAGAAATATAAATGAGGCAGGTCGGTATTATCAGTTTCAAACCTAGCCATGCAATTTTCGGATTTGATCTATATTTGGTAGACTGCACCTCTGACGCATCGATTTATTACAATTGATTTGTTAGAGCAAGTTATTGATTGTATGCAAAGATCAATAAAACCATTGCAGTGTGCTAATGCCACGAGAAATGGAAATCGACTTGTTTTAGCGACCAATCACACTCCAAGGTAGCACAGAGGAGATTTCGAAATAAAATAATTTCCCATAAATATTTAAAATAAATTTTTATCTTTAACTAAACTCACATCAACAATCTTGAGAAGAAGCAATTCAAACTTAAACATTATTAACAAATGTCTGTTATTTTTTCAAATATTACCGGTTCTTTTAACACCAGAATGAGCACTAATTATCGCAAAAAATTCTAGTTCAATTATTTCACCACAAAAATGACGATTTAATATCATCACATGGCAGTTAACAACAACAAGTTGAAAAGGCCAGCTTTAAAATCATTGCCCGAAACATCATCTTAAACAACGATGCAATTTTCTAAGTAAAGGAAGATGAAGATGAACCACTCCTTTTATACAGGGGAAGTTTAACGACTTTAATAAAACAAAAGTGCCAATTTAATGATGAATGATAATTTCTATCTTGAAGGCGAGTGGTGAAGATAGTGGAATTTAAGGCCATATTGAAACTGTTTCCATGTTGGGAGTTTTTATTTTCAGACTGAGAGGTTACGCTAGAACACACTCTCTCTCCTTCTATGTTAATAATTCATTTATGTTGGCAGAATTTCTTTTAAAGGCACTAGCATGCATACTTTGACCAGCGCACCCGATCTTAAAACCAGTTAGTTTCAACAAGTTCGCCACTTGAATGAGATCGATATTCGGACTATTAATCGAAACATGACATGGATAAACTAATCCGCTGTATGTGGTTCTCCCAACATCGAAGGGACTCGTTGAATTTAATGAGATCAGAAAGGAGATAATAGTTCTCTAGGTAAATACTCATTTTCAAGCTCTCATATCGGTGGCTCATCCTTATTTTCAAAATCACCCATTAACCCTCTTTCCAATCACCATTTTTATCTAGTGAGCTTATATCTTTTTAGATAGAGACGGTTGGCTGAATTCATCATTCACCATAATCTTCTTTCTCACGCCTCCGTCTCGTCTTCTTTTCATAAAACTTCGGGTCTTGAAGGAGTCGATGGAACCAAGATGACCGCTGATTTAGTGAAAATAGTGACTATTTCTAAGTTATGCAGTAAGGACTCACACCATAAGAAGAGCGTTCAATCCAAAAACGAATTTCCACGCGAAGGCACAAAGTGGGAAGTAGTTGACGATTACTGCTACAGCAGCGCAGAGAACATCCAAGTCCTCGGGGACGTGAGGGATAAAGAGGGAGCCCAGAGTGCCCAGTAGCAAGGAGAGGGCAATATGAAATTGGTCCAACCGAAATACGCCCCTTGATAATAAAAAAAAATTGATAAGTTAATCGATTCCACCCAATAAGAAGCTCGCTAAGAGGAAAGAATTCAATCTTAGGTGGGGGGGGGGGGGGGGGGGGGGGGGGGGGGGGGG